ATATATATATATATTTAAAAAAATACTTAAAGTCGTGGTGGCGTCTATTCAAGATGAGAGTTGTTTTAGTTCGAAATCAGTATCCTCAGTCAGTTGTCGTTTTAACTTAAGTCGTTTTTATCAACGACAGTGAACAAGGACTATTCTCGCGTTTATAGATTTTATTGTTCTTAAACAATAGAATTTACCATTAGAATTTTATGAGCACTTTACTGTAAAAACACACTTACCTCTACCTTAAAACTTCAAATTAAGTTCAGTCTTCACAGCATTCTGTTTTAAATCACACCTGATAACTTTCTTAACACTTACTTAAATACTTGTACTTTCGTTCGACAGAACCGATAATGGATACGGATGTACAGCCTGTGTCTCCTACCCGCCGAAAACTTCCTAGAACACCTGTAAGCCTGAATTTTCTCTGAAATATATGCTGGTGTTTGCAGATTTTTTAAACAACAATGTTGTCGTTATTTCTAAGTTATAAGAGCGTAGATTACGTTAGATTCAATTTTACTCTAAATTTATGAAGTTTTGAATTTATAATTTTAGTTTGAGTTTTAACAACATACTGTGAAAAGAAGTCGTACAATATATTTATTTTACTTCTTATCTTCTTCGATTTCGTTCTATTACTTCAATTAGTCAGTCAATAAATTAATCACAGAGTTCAACAAACGAGCATCCAAACAGTTCTTCTGCTCATTTACAACAGTAGCTATAACCTTTCTGTTTATTGAATAATATCGCTATTTCCTTACATAAACATATTCTGAACATCATTCTCCTGTAACAAGTCTTCCACCCGTTTACTAGAGTAGATATAAACAAACAAGTCTTCTGCCGTTTACTGGAATAGCTATAATTATAATCTAATCAATCAAGTATTCTGCCCTTTTTTCCTTGAATAGATACAATCTAAGCAAATAAGTATTCTGGCTACCTACTAGAACAGTCATAACCTAAACACACAAGTTTTAACTCTTTTTTACGGGAGTATATATAACTTAAATTACCAGAATGTTTAGTGAAAGAGATATAATCTAACCAAACAAAATGTAAGGCCTGTTTACTTGATAAGATATGATCTAAATAACCCAGTTTTATACGTGTTTACTAGAATAGACATAAATAAGTAAGTCTCATGACCATTTAATGGAGTAGATGTAGTCTGAAGAAGTAAAATTTTTGCCTGTTTACTGGAGAAGATATAACATAAATAAGCGAGTTTTATACGTGTTTACCAGAATATACATATCAATAAGTAAGTCTCCTGACCTTTTAATGAAGCAGATTTAGTCTGAAGAAGCAAAATTTTCTGCCTGTTTACTGGAGAAGATATAACACAAATAAGCGAGTTTTATACGTGTTTACCAGAATATACATATCAATAAGTAAGTCTCCTGACCTTTTAATGAAGCAGATTTAGTCTGAAGAAGCAAAATTTTCTGCCTGTTTACTGGAGAAGATATGATATAAGAACGCAATGTAGATATAACCTGAACAAGCCAGTTTTCTACCTGTTTACCTAGAGTACATGTAACTTAAACAAGCAAATCTTCTGCCTGAATGCTACAGGTGGTAACATGTAACAAACGAGTCTTCTCTTTAATATAATAGAATATAAACAAGCAAGCCTCTACTAGAATAGGTATACTCTAAAATAAAACAAGCATTCTATTAGAGTAAATAAGACGATCCAAACAAGAAAGTTTCCTGTATCCTTACCGTAGCAAGTAAAACCTGAACAAACCGATTTTTTTTTTTTTACCTGTTAGCTTTTATAAACACAATTTCAACAAGTAAGTAATCATACTGTTGTTATGCTTTTTTTACCGGCCTACCGGCATATCTGTAATTCAAACGTTTTCAGAAGTATTGTATGAGAATTAACAAATCAGAGTCTATATATTTATTATCATTTCATTTACGCACGTAGATTCCAAAAGCTCATCATAAAAATGGTTTTTCTTATCGTCAATATATATTCTTTTATCTTGTACCAATATTATTCATGTGTGTTTGTATTTTTCGTGCATTTCACAGCAAAAGATATACCAATAACTAAATAAAACATTACATAACATTAATACAACAACTAATTTAAAGCTACTTTATGGTAATCAAATAAGCATATATTGTGTGCATTTAAATGAATACTCTCCTTTTCTCCATTCAGGACCAACCTTTGCCGCCGTTTTTCGTAGGAGACGTTGGAGTCCAAATGTGGTTTGATCGTAACCGAAGTGATTTAATAATTACTCTACTTTCCGCCAGAGGGCTGCGTTTGAAGAAAACTACCGCTGATTTACCCCGTGCCTTTGCTAAGCTAAGACTGGTGCCTCATTCGTATGTTGTTGTTTTTTGTTGTTGTTGTTTGTTTATCTTATCAACCACCAACTTCTCGTTTAGAATGAATCAATATTTAGAATTGAAAATTTTTTGATAATCTTTTTATAGTAAAAGTTTTAAACAGGAAAATAAGGAAAAATTCTGCAACATATATATTTATATATATATACGAGTATTATTGTTTCATAACTATAATTAGAAACTGAACTAAATAAAGGAGTACGCAGAAAAATATCCTTACTTCTTCAGAATATTAATTCCAATTAAAAAAACAACAACAAAAAACTCCAAACTAATTTAGCTTAAAAAAGCCAAAAGCTGGTAAATGAATACTGTCTTCGTTTCTTCTTGTCGCTGAAGTTTATAGAACTAGAAATATAAAGCGATAAGAGTTCTTTGTTCAGACGTGGTAAAATACACATTTTAGGAATAAACTGAGATATGGAAATTTGTAATGCGGGGCAATATAATTATATTTACTATAAAATCATGAACAAAAGTGTTAGTCTTTGATGTGCTTATCAAATATTAACCAACAAATAAGAAAATTCTATAGCTAATAGTCATTAAAAAGAGTCCATGTAGAGTGTATGTATGGATAAATATGGTGAAATATAATATCTAATGATAAAAAATATATTAATACTTCTTCCAATTAATTGGTTTCAAATCCCTAGAACTGCATACCTGAATTTTACATTGTAACTCGGTATTAATTACTAGTTTAACATTGTAACTCGGTATTAATTACTAGTTTAACATTGTAACTCGGTATTAATTACTAGTTTAACATTGTAACTCAGTATTAATTACTAGTTTAACATTGTAACTCAGTATTAATTACTAGTTTAACATTGTAACTCAGTATTAATTACTAGTTTAACATTGTAACTCAGTATTAATTACTAGTTTAACATTGTAACTCAGTATTAATTATTAGTTTAACATTGTAGCTAAGTATTAATTACTAGTTTAAGGTGAGATATGAAGTGATGGTGATAAGAAATGACTAATTAATAATTTTGGTTGAAGTAGATAAATATTTCCAATTTTTGAGGTTATAAGTATTTACACATCAACTATATCGTTGTGTTTCTAACGCAAAGGTACATAATATGCTTGCTATCTGCGCTCTGTCCACCACGAGGGAATCGAATCCCGGATTTTAGCGTTGTGGTTCCGGAGACTTACTTCTGACCCACCGAGGGGACTACATTAACTAGAACTAGATGTTTTCAAACTAAGAAAGTTTATGACAGAAACGTTCCTGAAACTGTTCTTCTCAAGATGCATTCTCGAATATTGATACGTAATGTCACTACTCCTATAATTAGATAACTTCACTATATAGCTTAAATAACGGGCTTACAGTCGCACTCACTTGATTGAGTTGTGGCCTCAGCCTGTTGACCAAGAGATCCTGGCAACGAATCAAGTGAGTTTAGCGATTAACTTTTACGTAAAGATTAGGGATGGGTATCTCATCATAGTAGTTAATACAATACGTATCTAGAGACAGAAGTTTTACCAACGGTTTGTTACATAAGTCAAACTGGTGTATTTACGTGTTTTACACTCACAAAAAAGAAACCTATAGAATGATAGGTTTCTTTTTTGTGAGTGTAAATACACCAGTTTGACTTATGTAACAAACCGTTGGTAAAACTTCTGTCTCTAGATACGTATTGTATTAACTACTATGATGAGATACCCATCCCTAATCTTTACGTAAAAGTTAATCGCTAAACTCACTTGATTCGTTGCCAGG